TCTTAATCCATGGTCTTAATCAAGAAATTTGATCCCATTAATCAATAATTTTAATCTTAATCTTCCCAACCAATTCAATTTAGTCTAATTTTTAATTTTTAATGTTCAACTTTTTCACTTAATTTTTAATCAGGATTAATATAATTAAAATAGCTCTATATCTTACTCGGGTCACATAAATCTGTAACTTTCAAAGCAGTCTCGCCTCCTAGCACTGGCTGGAGACCTTTCTATTCACCCTTTATGAAAAGCTAAAAACAATTTCAAATTTTTGAAGAGTTACCTTAATTTTGAAATTAATTTTTTTTAGAATTGTATTCGATACAAATTGTGTCTATTTGCCAAATCAGTAAGTTGTTTTGAAGACCTATTTCTAATTACGTCATAGATCTAAGATTATGGTTCAGATTCTATCTTAAATGTCGATTATGTGAGAGAAACTGTCGTTAAAAAATTAAAACATGTATTGACTTGATAGAGTGATGGTTATTTTTCGAAATTTATAGAAGGATTTGAACTGCATCTGATGTTCAACACATTTTGGTCGGACTTACAAGTAATTTTATTCGCCCTGATCTACATACATACTTGAAATACAGACTTGATAAAAATTAACCTAAATTAGTCCATATACTGGTCTAAAATAATTGAGATTTAACTTTTAATCTGATTCATCAAAATAGATTAATTTGTGTTAAAAAGTTAATTTAGCTGAGGACGGATATTTTTAATCTCAATCTTAATCTCTGATTCGGGAATTTTAAATCTTAATTTTTAAATTCTAAACTCATTAATTTCTCAGCTCTGGAATATCGCTTCTCTTTTCACGCTTCTTATTTCTTGCTTCTCGTTAACTAAAGTTTCCATGTGCGTATGTGCACTACTAAAAAAAATCGTTTTATATGGTACAACCTGGAAGTAGGTGCACTCGGTTAATTCATCTGCTATTTCAAAACTGTGAATCGGTACTAAATGTTGCGTGATTAAATGTCCAGAAGGTTTTGGTAGCTCTGGTTTTGGAGTTATCTCAAACCAAAAAATAGCCGTGATAGGGGGTTTTCTAGACCCGTGAAATTGGTTGAATGGTTCGAGAGCTATAGGTTTTGGCAAACAAACAAAGCAATCTGGACCAGTGTGACGTATGGTTCCAAAAGTACATACTTTCAACTTATGGAAACATATTTACAATGCACATGCCACTGACATGTGCATTGTAAATATCAGAGAGAAACATATCTGACATGATGTCAGACATGTTTCTCTCGGATATTCGTTAAACCAGCACTTGTAAAATATCAAGCAACAACAAACAAAGTGTTAAAAAATTATTTAAGAACCACAGATGAAAAATCGGATGAGAACTTGGTTGGGAAATTAATAAGCTCAATTTTGGATGAAATGTGAAACGGATGACCTGGTGAAGAGAAGAGCAGGAGAAAACCGATAAGCGGAGAGGTGAACTCCATATTGTTTCGCATAGTGAAAATACGCATTTTTGCCAAATTAAAACTTTCGCCATTTCGCGAATTCTGAAGAAGTGATCAAATGTCACACCAAGTAATGTTGTTTGTGTTTAGTTCCTTGATATTTTAGTGCTGGTTTCAAGAAGATCCCCGCACGAAACATGTCTGACATGTGCATTGTTAGTTATGTGATTCCAATTAAAAGTCTGGTCAATTAAATGAGACCCGGTCGACAGGACACCTATTGGGTATCGGTGAAACAACTCGTGGGCATTTTGAGTTTTACAACCATCAACCTAACATCGTTTTTGTCAACTTGGATTAAAGTAATTCGAACATCGGCGTCAATTTCGTAATGTTGGATATTTAGGCCATTTTGTAGATACGGTGAAATTTTTTGTGTGGATCACCACCTTTTCATAAATCTCATTATGCCAACTTTCGGCGAAATGGACTTTAAGTTGAATCAGTTCTAAATATTAAATTTAGATTTATATTTAAAATATAAATCTAAATTTTAAAATTCATTAAAAAAATTTAAAAAGAAAATTTTCCCAAATTATTTTCGTAATGCAAGGAAATATCTCCTACACCCTGGCCGCAGGCCAGCAGGGTGTCTGAGATCTTTTTTGGCTTGCAGGGTGTCGTTTTTTGCCTTCGGTCAACAGGGTGTCCCGACACGCTCGACATTGAGGTGGGAAAGTATGGTGGGACAGCATGTGGCCATAAATGTTTCAAACAGGGTTCAATATTTCTCGTCCAAAATTACTTTTTACCAGGTGAAAAAAGTAAAAAAAAAACAGGGAAAACGGTTTTACAGTCCAAATTGGGAAAATATGGCTGGCCGCGTGTTCCTTAATAACCAATATTTTAGAAATTGGAATCGCCACGAATTTCTGAAAAATTTGATGTATTATAATACCTTTGACTATTTTTATTGTTTTGCCAATTTTTCCATATTAGTAGATTTTAATTTTAGACATTGTTTGAATTGAATTGTATTACCTACTTATATGGTCAAAATTTCATGAAGACCACGAATATGAAGTAAATTTTTTTTAATCCTATTTAAGTTTTAAAAAGGTTTTTCGGATTGCCTCAAATTAGAGTTTTTCCCATTTCCAACTTATTTTATGTGGGTGGTAAAAACTGTATTTTTCCCACTTTCCCCGCTGCCCTGGTTAATTTGGCTTTCACCGATCGAAACCCTGGTTTCAAATACAATTCGATAACTAGATTTGTATCACTAAATAATTGACATAAGCAATATGGGCATTAAGCAGGTACCCAGTTTTCCAGTGCAGATGCATTTTAGACAATTAAAAGTACTGACCGTGATTCCGCAGTGGTTGTCATCAACGCGTTTCCGGCTGGTGTGCTCTATCTGAACTCTGAACGGATGCGGGGTTACCTGTGTAAAGACAAAGGCCCCGGAAGCGTCCCCATCTGGCTGCTGGGGGCCTGGGGTTTCGCCATTCTAACCGCCCTCCCAGAATTCTTTACTACCGAATACAACCCCGATACATTTTTCTGTTACAAGGTACGTAAAAATTTCTCAAATAAAAAATTTAGTACTCCTAAAAATAATCTCTTTCTCGAGGTAATGCAGTAAAAATTTTAGATTAAATAACCTGGGTTAAATTGTGCGCAAACTTGAAGCTTTATCAAGTCAACGTTGCTCTGGATTTATAGTAATTCGTTCAATTTCGAATTTGGAGTGAATTTACTTTTCAAAAGGGTATCATTATTTTTAACAATGTGGGTATTTCGTAATGCGTGGCGCGATTCCTAATCGGATTCGTTTTCCAAGCCTGAAATGTTGGGTCCATTTGCATATGCCAATCTATACATGTGTCTGAAATTAATTTGTTTTTAATTGAAACAGACCGGACCCCTTGACCCGGAATGGATCGGAATGCTGTATGGCGTCGTAAGGTGTTACATACACCACGTGGGTCCCTGTATTTTGTTGACTAATGGTATGTAAACGCTTCAAGACAGTGGTTTTATATGCAATGAAATTTCAACCAGAATTTGCCACGCATTCAAAAATAATTATTTCCACGAAATAATAGATGTGTACACATTGAGAGACAAATGGCACCTGGTGTACAAGGAAAATGTAAGTTTAGAATTAAAATGCTATGAAATATGGATAAAATTTAATGGGAATTATGGGAATTTTTATAAACATCCAGTGAACAAGTAAAATTTGAAGCGTGAATATTAACACTTTGAAACCTTCGCAAAGTATGATAATTATTTGGGAGGTTATTTGTTTGTTAGAAAATAATACGCAATTATGTATACGCTATGAAACCTTTCAGAGCTTTGATATTGGATGATTTGTTTAAAAAATATGATTTTCAACCTTTTAATTTACGTCTATATATTTATTTTTACATTTCAGGCAGGCGACATCGAAGCGCGTTTGCTCGTTCCTCGTGTGAGGTTCGTGTGCGTAAATTCAGGCACTTTTATAGCCATGTGGCTCCCCTTCGGAGTTATTCTGACCATTTTTGAGCACGGTGACTTCCCGCAGCCAACTTTTGTATTAGGCTTCTTACTATCCGGGTACCTCGTCGCTCTCCCGCTGACCATCTTCTGGACCACAAAGGACCTCACGAGGAGGATTATTTTCCGGAGAAGGCGTCCAAAACAGCATGGACCGTACCAAGAAATTACAATCGTACGCAGGGATAGGAATATCCCTTTTAGGTGGAGGTATCGTGACGTGCTAGCGTCGGAGGAAAGTTCTCCGAAGGAGATTAAGGAGCGTCAGCTGGCGGATAGAATTTGAATTATAAAACTAGGGATGGGATAATTTTATCCATACGTGTACATGAACTTGGGAAATAATTTCAATCCAATTGCTATGTATATCGAAGTGATTGAAGCGAGATGTGGGAGAATGTACAATGGAGAGTAGAAATATCCCGATTTGGTTAAAAGTGGAACTGAGAGAGAGGATTTAGATCCCACTTGAATAAAGGTAAAGTTAAAAGTGTTCAAAATAGATATTTACGATTTTCTAATTATAGTGTAGTTTTGAATTTTTCTGAAACCTAGTTCAATAAAAAAAACTAGTATCATAAAATGTGTTTGGTGGACTTGGATACAATGCAACCATTTTGCTTTTTTTATAATTGTGACATGCGCAATGACCTTGCACATATTTTGAACATCATGCAACAGTTTAGAATAAAATTGATTACCAATATCTAACTGGAAGGCGTTTGAATACCATGATTTACTTTTATTTTAAGCAGTAAGACTGTTAAAGCACTTTATTTTATGTAATAATGCAGTAAATATGTGTGTGCATTATAATTAATTTTCATTTGTAAAATCATACTGATTGAGATTGATTGACATATTGATTGATAAGGTGCATGAGATGTTATTAGTTTATAGTTAGTGTAATAGTGTAATTGTGTAATACTTACATAAAGGTCACGTCGTATAAATCATTCGAAACTCAACATCTACCAATACCAATATAAATATTCTAAAAACTATTTTTATCCATCTTTCCAACTAACTTGGGGGAAAAATGGCTTCTTTCGGAAATGTCACCAAACCTGTCGTCAACGTGTCTAGCACAAAGTACAAAATTTTCAAGATGACAATTCTCTCAATCACTTTGGCTGAACTGACTTCAACGCCGAATTTTCTTAATGACTTGATTTCCCTGACCGTTAGTTTTCCTCGAGTGACCCCACTTTTTTCTGATTTTATCGAGTTAAATAGCTTTTCTGATGCCTCCCCCACCGATGCCGTGGTCAGCACTGCCAGCAGTAAAGCCATCATCAAGTTCCACAGGACAATTGGAAAGGGGGCATACTCGAAAAGGCTGACTTGACCGTGAAATCGAATAGTGGCAAATGCTGAGATGAAAATGAATCGACCAGGCCCCCAAAAACAGATGAATGCGAGCATTTCCTTCGTGATGGAAGAGTTAAAGGCTGCAAGAAGTACGCTCAAGGTGCGATAATCATGAATTTTACGTCGAGTGGATGATTTGCAAATTCTGCAAAGAAATTTATTAAATATAATTATACACAAATGAATAATTTTTTGAATTAAATGAATTTTGAATGAATAACTTAATGAATAAATTAATTTGGAATGAATGCTTTTTCAAATTAAATTAAATTAGAAGGAATAATTTTTTGAACTAAATGAACCTTGAATTAATATTTTTTTAATTAAATGAATTTAGAATGAAAACTTTTTTGAAATAAATGCGTTTGGAATTAAGCTATATTTTTAAACGCTGTGGGCTCTTTGTCTAATTTATCATCATTTGTCGCCATATTACCTGACTGCATCTGTACAGCAGATCGCGACGTAGACAGTGACTAACACATGGAATCCTTCCATCCCATCCACCAATGCGACTGAAGTCTTCGAGTAGATTTCCAGCAGAGCAAATGCAGCAAAAACTGAAGGATTTTCTAAATCCCGTTTAAAGTGGGATGAAATGTATTGCGGTTTGAGTGGAACGATGAGATACATAATGGAAACGGTGGGTGGAAGACTGATCAGGATCCACAGAATTGCCATTATTTGTAACTGAAGTGCATTGTACCGATGGAATATTGGTTTCCAAGTGGATTCCAGATTGTACTTGGCTGTAATTAACAACGCCATTAGTTATACAATATATTTTTGTCTGTGCTTTAGAATTTGATCCAGTTTTGTTGTTATTTAAGAGTTGGGTCAAATAATAGTAACAATATTATTACCCATGACTTCGTAAAATTCCACAAGGATAGAAGTAGTGTTAAAATCAAAACAAATTCCTAGTTCGGAATAAAAAAGAACTTTCCATCGTAGGCCAAAAGTGAACTTTCTTTGGTAGGCAACAGTTCGTTACCACCGTAAAAGAAAGTAGAAATTCACAGAAAAAGGCCACAGACAAATATCAGTAAAAGTCCCTATAATGTTACTAATTGCCCTAGTAGCTCAGAGGTCAGAGCACTTGACATGAATTCAAGGGAGCCGTGGTTCGATTCCCGGCTGGGTAACAATTTTTGGCATTATTCGGGATTTACGTATTTGATTTCTAAGTAAAATTGCTATTAATTATAGATAACTCGGTTCCGGTAATGGTAACGTACCGTATAAAACCGTGGATCTAATTAATTCTTTACTAACTGCTGCCCTCGTTGGTCGAACTTGTCATTTTTACTCACCTGACATTTCCATACAAAGTTTCTTCACTCCTTTAAACACAGCTGTAACATTGGTGCAGGAGACTTGCGCATTTTGAAAACTTAACCAACCCCAAACATACAGGTAAATCCAGATAAGAAGCCAAATAACGACGACAAAATAGGCCCGACCCTGACGCCCGACTTCTCCTGCCAAACGAACCACTAGAAAGCCAACATAAAGAACAATATTCAATTTTGTAAGAGATACACAAATCCTTTTCCTCAAGCGGGACGATACTCGTAAACATTTTTCCTTCTCGTCCCACTCGTACGGCGTTCCGTTAACTAAATTCACTACTTTTACCAAAATTCGGAGCGTATTCAACGTCTTGTCGTCTTGCATTTTTAAACAATTCAAAACTATTTTTCAATTATAGCTGCATGATTCTTAGATAGTTAATGCCGCGTTGTTTTGAAGTTCATGCATTTATACCAGATTTTTTATCGTTATTTCAGCACAATTTCGCGTCATCAAATGATTCGTCATTGTTTCTGAGTTGTCAACTGGCCGTGAATATTATCGGGTAAATGTGGACCCTACAATTATGTATTGCACAAAGTAAAGTTTTTTTTCTGTTGAATGTCAATAATCCGACAATGCAGGTGAGAGACCTTGCATCCAATCAATCTTACTGATTTGTTTGAACTTTTAAAAATGACGTTATCCTTTTGAAAAATAAATGCATTCTGAATTTTGTATGAAGTAAACCAAAGCTAGACTAACGTTGTCGTGATAAAGAGTAAAGGTTACTCGGAATTTAGTTGAGTTGGTTTAGTTAGAATTCAGATCGCATTTGCTTTTTTAAAATGGTAGTGCAAAGTGTAGTTTCGCAAAACGTAGTTATATTGATATGTGATGTCGTTTGGAATTATTTTTTTACTCAAATTTCGTAATAAATAAATACTATGCACAACGACTAAAATAAGCACGAAAGGCTTCATCGGGTGGAGCGTTTGGGTTTGAGAATATCAGATTAAACATAAACCAATAATGCATACATAATACCTGCACAAGCATTTATTTTCGGATTTAAAAAAAATCAATAATGAATTAGTATACATTTGATTTAAGATTTCGAATAAATCAATAACGAAGTAATAATTGCTTACAATTTTCAAATTGAACAAAAAATTACACATTCAGTTATTACCCATGATGCCCTATAGTAGAAAATCGACGCAAAAATTCAGTTCTGGTCTTTCCACTCATAAAATTAAAGGGTCCCATGCACGCTCTAATTGAACCATAACTACTGACCTCCTTTGTCCACATGGCCTTCCTAGTTGATGCTGCTACCTTCCACATTCCCGCCAAATTATCCGATTGCGTATTCAAATCTGCCATCAGAGGGAAAATGTAGTGTGGCATACCCCACAGGACGGGAACTTAGCGTCCCGCCAAAACCGTGGTCGCTATTTTGATAACGACACTTAACTTACGAACAAAACAGATCAAAGTGACGGGACACAAAAATACGATAAACGTTCCGACCTGTAAGAAGTTTTAGATAACCTGGCTCGAAATTGTGGATTTGTAGTTGGCGAAGGAAGTCCATGTGTAGCCGTAAAATGTTTTATTTCACGGCTCCTCTCGATGTAAGTAGTTATATGTAAGAAATGCATATGTGTGTAATGGAAAAATACATACGCGTGTCTGGAGAAAACAGCTTCTCGGGATGAAGAAGGTGTTTTGCCCAAAGGCGAATTTTAGGTTCTGGAATTATGCGCCCACATCTTCTTTGTAGATAGTCTTTGTTCAGTCTTAAGCCTTGATTGTATCCTAAATAAAGCTAGTTTCCTTTTGTCATCTTTCACAAAAAATTAAAACACTATAGACAATTTATTCATCATAAGTCCATCCTGCATCTCAAAAAGAACTGCAACACCATGCTCCCAGTAAGACGGACATTGAGTAGAAGGGACCAGGTTTTTGCATTGGGGGTTGGTCTTGGCAGCCAGGCTTTAGTATTCCACGCAACACTCTACGGATAGAGGGTGTTGCTAAATTGTGCAAAATGTTGCAGAGCTTAGACAGGAGTGTGTGATGGGATCGAGATAGTTAGGTGGACATTCTAAAATCCTAAAATGGATGCCGCTTAACATGCTGATATTGTAGCTTCCATGCAGGCATAAGAAGGCATGCTAGTAAATATTCTTAGTGGCCGATGCCGCTTCCACTCAACATTGGCCATTCTACAGGTCGTGTTAGAGTACTCTACTGCATGTTATTTCTCCACTGTCCCTCATGAAATAGCTCCTCCCTATAGGGCGGATTTGTCCTCTGACTCTCTTTAGAGAGTCACGGATTAATCTGACTAGGATCGGATGTCCTTGGAAATATACTTCCCCTCGAGACTGGGGGGATTAACAAAATACGAATACATTGCCATTAAGGTTTTATCTATATTTGTAAAAACTAGTAAAGTTAGAGGAAGTTGGAGAACGAAAAGTTTAAGGAATGAGAAACTTTTAGAATTTATGGATTTTTGAATAAATTTGATGTTTAAATTATGCTATTTGGCCGTGGATTAATTAGGTTGCAATTATGTAAATAGTACAATTCGTACATATCTAGCAACAAAGTTAAAATTGTTGGCTTATTAAGTCATTAAAGAACTGGAATGGCAGGAGAATAAGTTTAATTCCACCTGTCGAAAATTATTCACCTGTTGGATCCTGTGGTACTTTATGTACATACATATTTCAAGACAATGATTAAGAAGACGTTTTACAAAAAAGTCAAAAGAACTCAAAACTTATGTGTTCAACAGACACAACGGAATGCTCATTATCAAACCAACTGGAAAAGCAAGCCGTTGCTTTATTTTAAACTTAATATACATGATATATGTACATATATGTATTTATTTTTTAATGTCATCAAAACCAATTTTTAACAGCTACACTTTTACGGTTATTACTAGGGATGCCGTATTGTAAAAAATAGCAGCGAAAAATTGAGTCCTGGTTTTTCTCCTCATAAAATTAAAGGGTCCCATGTTCGCTCTAATTGGACCATAACTATTAACCTCCTTTGTCCACATGGCCTTCCTACTTGACGCCTCCACCCTCCACGACCTCACCAATTTATCCGACTGCGTATTCAAATCTGCCATAATGGGAAAAGTATAGTGCGGCGTACCCAACAGGACGGGAACCAAGCTCGCGGACAAAACCATGGACGCCATTGGGATGACGCTGTTTAACTTAATCATCCAACAGATTAAGGTAACAGCGCACAAAAACACGACAAACATTCCAACCGGCAAGAAAAAGTAGATAACCTGGTTCGAAATCGTGGAAAGGATTTGTAGTTGACGATAAGTTTTTAAATGTTGTTGAAATCTGAGCGTTTTTTGAAATATGTTTTCGGGAAGGAAGGTTTTCTTACTTTGGAGGAACAAGGAGGTTAAGCAGGATTTGAAAGATATCAACCAAAGATCGATCAAAGATAAGTGTCCCGAGTAAACATATCGTCGAGTGGAGAAGGGTGGCTAGGATGAAGACCATTTCCACCGGGGAGGGTGACACATTTTGGGAAATATGTAAAATTTCTGAATAAAACGTAGTAAGGGTCGATACCGTTTTGCGCGAGGGGGGCAAGCGTGGCCACGACTGGGATGAAGAGGACGGGTGGGATGATTAAATGGAGGAAAAGCCCGAGTGGGTCGAAAATTGGGGGGCTTTTAACTGAAAAATAAATGGAAAGTGTGTACAAAACATTAAATTGTGTATATCATTTTTCTAAGTTTCCTACACGTCTTATCGAATTTTGAGTTAAATTAGAAAACAAATAGGAAAGTTCCTTAAATTTGGGGGAAAATGAGGAGACGGAAATTGTTCTACAGAGAAGTATAGTTTTTACCGTATTTGGTCCCCACTTTTTCAGTGAGAAGTCTAGAATTTATGTAGAGAAGGCATATTTCCTTGGTTTTCCAAATATTGGTTAGCATCATGGTGACGGATATGGTGTTCAAAGCGTAATGTAGGACGAGCAGGATTCCCGCCGTGAGAGAAACGTATGAACTGTCCATTTTATTAAAAAGGATCCATTTTGTCACAGTATAAAATGCGAAGGATGTCCATGCCCCCAGTAGGACGGACATTGTATAGAAGGGGACCAGTTTGTTGCACGGGGTAGGCCTTGGCAGCCAGGTTTTAGTATTCCACGTAATGCTCTGGGGATAGAGGGCGTTGCTGAATTGTGCGAAACGCTGAAGAGCTTGGACTGGAGAGTGTGAAGGGATGTAAAGAAGAGGGATGTATTTCCTCCGGAAAGTGGGGGATTAAGAAGGCTCGAAAATTTATGGGGCAGCATGGGCTGATTTTACGTTTTAAAAATTGGGTGAAAGACTGATTTGTAACCTAATTTGTACATGTCACGTAATATTTACTTAAGATTATGATTTTCGGCACTACGTTTCCGGGTAAAGCTAAGTATTCACCTCATGTTTTTCGCGTGAAAACGCACTTTTCGGGCGAAAAGTGAAAAAATTTCGCCCCCATTTCGGCTCACGGTATTCACCTCGGAAA